GCCTATGTTCAGCAGTGGACTTGTGAAGGGCTGCAATGATGATGATGATGATGATGACTTCTCGAAAACCTTCCTTTAATAAATATTAAACTTTTTATAAATTAATTAATATTTAAATATAGTTTAATGCTGCTATTTACACAGTTATAACTTAAGATCCTGAGGTTAAAACATATAAAAGTCACATTACGTAGTTATTTCCTACCTCCACGCGAATACTTGCACTCCTTTCATCATCTTCATCATCATCACAGCCCATTACAATTCACTGATTCTTAATTCCTTCAAGGAATACTACAGAGCATGGAATTGTGCCAGCTGCGTACATCGATTATCTTCACTTTACCAGGTCGACACTCTAGTCACTACGTGGGTCCCTACGTTTCGCTTACCGGTACTTGGATGATATGTGAGAATCTTTCTTACCTGTTTTTCACGCTTTATAACCTACCACCAGCTTACTGATTTGATGAGCTATGTCGGTTATTTTTCTTCTACTGCGAATATCCTCATTATGAAGTCTATCACGCAAAGAAACTCCGAGCATATCCCCCTCCATGGCTCTCCATTTCAGAATAATAATCTTCAAAAAGGTAATGTTTGCGTAATATTTTACGTTTAAGAAATTCTAACATATATTTCACACTCGTGCTACTTCAAGAAAGACTACAATGAAAATATTCTTTAACAGCTCTAAAAAGGACGTCTATTCCGGTAAGCTTGTATTAACTCTGTGAATTACGTTCTTAAAAGTTAAAATTTCAATCTTATTCTGTCGGATTGTTAACTGAGCGTCTACATTTTAGAAGTGTTCAAGACGATGGAACTTTTAAAACTAGCGGATTGCTCCATCTACTTCTGTACAGTTGAATAAAAATGTAAGGACTTCGTGTATTTCTTTTATTTCATATTTTCCATGTCAAATAACTTTATTAAGTTGTTGGGCGAAGTTTAAGATCTTCGCTATAAAGCTTCATTCGTTTATGCGTGTGATAGTGCAAAAATTTAGTAGAAGTCAGTAAGATGCAATATACAGAATGGTAAATACATAAGCAAGAAATAATATATATATATATATATATATATATATATATATATATATATATATATAATTTTAAAAAATTTATTTATAAAACTTTGTTGCAAAAAAAGGCGAACGCGGACTTAACGCCTTAAGGAGTTGTTTAGTAGACAACCTATAAGTAAGCAGAGAACAGAAATTATACGGTTTACATAATTTAATGTTAAAGAAAAAGCAAAAGTAAAAGAAATTTTAATGTTGCGTGAAAGAAAAGCGATAAGAACATAGTTTTTGTTTAATGAGGGTAGTTGTAAAGTAATTCTCGGTTAAGGAAGTAAGAATATGCAAAATATCGTAAGTTTGTGAAATGTATGAATAAAAATGTATGTATTTGAAAGAGTTCATGCAACTATATTAATGTTATTATTAAAAATAAAATTCAAAAGAAACAAATAATGTCAAACGATATTTAAGGACGTAGCTTAATAAATTGCCTTTAACTGTTTCTTTTGAATTTAGAATATCAAAATATTAAATCAAAACAATTATTGACTATTTGTTAAATTGTTAACAAACGTTTCATATTCGAAAAGAGAACTTCAGCTTTCAGCCTAAACCAAAAGCTTATTATAATTGCTCAGACCAAAGAATAAGATACACGGAGCGGGTAAAGTAGAAAAGTGAAGCCAGGAAAAGGAATCACAAAATGCAAATCTAGCCTTTTTCAAAAGACTGGATGATGAGTTTTCAAACAATTATTTTTAAAAGATCGTACTACATTATTTAAGTAATAGTTACAGCAATTATATTATGTCTATATTTTGCTACTGGGTATTCCTTTTTTGTCTTCCTCCCCCCCCCCTGTTCTATTTACTCCATCTATCTTAGTTATTTTAGTGTAATTGTTAATATTTCTTAAGAATTAATAACATTTTGTTCAACATACAACAACCTATAATAAGAAAACACATAACCATAACACTACACATGCTATATAAAATCGTGTACTTATAATTCTAATTGTATTTAAATTAAAATAAACTAACAATAAGTTTTAACAAGGTTGAATGGAGTTGCCTCAATGGCCACGCTTGAATGGCAAACTCGTCATTATAGTATTAAATATATTACACCTTTGAAGCAGTTCCGTCTCTGTCTGGATCTATGTAGGTCTTAGTATTTTATTTACATCGGCTTATCTCAGGAAATCCTACCCTATCCCAAAGTCGCCTCTTACATCATAAGTGCTAGGCCTAAAGAACAAAAACTAAAAATGATTTCTTAAATTTACGCTAACACTACACATTGAATAAAACTATTATTTACGGATTTTATCGCGTTTAATTCAAGAAATTAAAGTTGAATTAAACGCGATAAAATCCGTAAATAATAGTTTTATTCAAAAACTAAAAGAAATCGACTATACTAAAAATTTATACCTACAGGGTTATTTTACAATAACCAGCCAAATTTGCATTGAAGATACAGAATAAGTAATATAGGCAAATGGTGAAGAAAAATTAATTGAAAAATATCCCAAAAATTCTTTCCTTTTTTATCTTTTAAATTCAAAATGCGTGCTGATGCATTATTTTAACTGATTTTACTGCGCACGCATTTCCTTACATTCGTAAGGGTCGACCGGTAGGCAAAAACGTTTTGGGATAATTACAAATAAAAGTAGAAACTTATTTAGTTGTATTTGCAAAAACTGCAATAAAGGTATATCATTATTTATAGATATGAACTTAAAGTTTTAAATTTGGCTACTGTTTGGAAAATAACCACGTATATATACAGAAGGTCAATGTCGTCGCTCACTACACTGTGTCTTTATCAATTCATGTGCTCACATAACCTTGATAGGTTACTATCAACGTAAAGCACGTTTTTGTTATCAGCGCGTGTAAAGTATTACTTTATGTGATTACTAAATGACCATGAGAATTAATAATAGCTGTTTTAACACGCCTTTAGCTTGAACAGGTACGAATTTAATGGAATTTTCAATTCAATATTTCTCCACTCCCAGACGTCTTAATAAAATAAAAATTTCAGTTGCCAATCCGCATGGCAAGCGTGGCAACTATGGCAAGTGTCCCCCCTATGAGGCAATCTATGAGGGAGATATGTGATCAGCAGTGAATTCTGATAGTTTGTGACGGTAAAGACAACGGTGACTAGGGTCGTGTAATATATAGTATCGTACTATATTTTAATCAATTGTACTATATATTATATAAAAATAATATAGTACAAAAATACTATGTTTTTATCCCTAATTCAACTGTCCTTTTTTACATTAACTGTAATTGCAAGTTTGGAACAAGTACGTTTTACGGAAATAATTTTTTCAACATGAATGTAAAATTGAAAGAAGAAAGTAAAAGAGCATGTATTTATTTAATAAAAAATTTATTTTTAATTTATTTTAATATGAATCTAAATCGCTCAGACTCCTTTAATTATTTTAAAAGTAAGGTAGAAGGTAAGGTGGTTAGATCATTGATGACCAAAGCAAAGAGTTATAACAAATATACATGGGAAAATACATAAAGATGAAAAAAATGTGTACTTTTTCTCCTGGATTTCTCAAAAGTACTATGTTTTTGCGTCTTTTTTGGGAAAAATGCTATATATGTTCAAAAAAAGGTATCAACCCTAAAAGTGACACACACTTTTTTAAACCCCAGACTATTAATAAACCATGTTATGTAACAAAACCGTCAAAGGTTATTTTTAAGAACATAAATATGTCTAAGGTTTAAAACAGAAAAAATAGCCTGCCAAACAAGAATATGCACTTCCCATGTAAATTAGCAATTTAGATCTGTCTATGTGTATAGTTTTTGCGCATCCAAATTTTATCTATATAGTCTACTGCTCGTACGGTCAGTCCATTACGTCATGGTGTGACACATATAAAAAAAAATTAAACATTTCGAATCGTTACTCTATTTTGGCTAACAGCACCGTAGCTCCAGTGGCGCAATTGGTTAGCGCACGGTACTTATATGACAGTGTCCGAGCAATGCCGGGGTTGTGAGTTCGAGCCTCACCTGGAGCACGATTTTTTGTAGAATTTTAATAAAATATAATTTTGCATTGCGTAGGAATTTATATTTAAATTAAACAACTTTTCATTTTGGGATGTTTCCATTATGTAAATAGATTTTTGTATACTGAAATTTAGTATTGATACAAATTCACATTCACGCAAAAATATATTGTTTATTAATGATTTGTTTGCATGACAAAAATATATGCAAACAACGTAAAATATGTCCCTTCATTTTGTATCGTAAAATGCTTGATATTATACAAAAATAATGCATAAAGATATTAATTTATCATGAAGATTAATAGTTACTTTGCAACCTTCCGCTCAATTATGTGTATGTACGTAGTAATTGAGCGGAAGGTTCCAAAGTAACTATTAATATCTTTATTATAATGGATTTCCGCAAAGTAACGCCTGATTCTATCAAAAATAATGCAATTTCATGGTGCTTAATTTCTTTTAAGATAAAGACAGACAGATATAGGACATTTTATGACTATATTTTTTGTAGAATGATCCGCAATCATTTTCAGGTACTAGCAATAAAGAGAGTTTTTTAACATATCCACCACCAGGCTCTCACAGAATAGAAGCTTAATGCTGCTGTGTTTTGTAGGGTGAGTGTAGAGTACCGGAGACCGTCTTTACTGGAAACGAGGCATTCCATCTTAGTCCACAGAGATGACAACATATCTTCATTTTGATTCTTTTTTGAGGATAAAAGTAGGTGTCTGGGCGACAGCATCCACGTACTATGTGCCTTACTTCTTTGTCAATTACTTCTATAAAATGGTGTTTATAGTTTACGGTATAGCATCGATTTTGTGTGTAAAATAGTATAGTGGGGTGTATAGTGTAGTGAGCGACGAACCTACAGTGGTACTTGCTTAAGATAATAATATTATGTAAGTTACTCACATGTGTAGTCCCAGCTGTCTTGATCGTTTTTGAACACGTTCAATCTCTCGGGCTGAAAAATAAACATTTGTATCGTTAATATGGTGTCATAGTTTTTAAAAAAAATTTTGAACTAAAGTTAAATTATAGCCTATACTTATAACAGCTGTCCCCCTCTCATTTTTGATAAGGATTTTAGGGCAAAGAAGTGCCCGACGGGTTGCCCCGATGCGTGTTGTCAGACTTCACGTCTTCGAAATATTTTTATATTTTTTGTAATTCTGTCATCATATATAGTAGTTATAATATTGTTTTCTTTAATATTGTTATATAATTATAAAAACTATTTCGTTTAAATATTTATTACGTATATAATATGTTTAATAAATATTAATAATATTATCATATCATGAAAGTCATGAAAGAAACTGATGGAAAAATTTGGGATGTGCAAGCGGGATTTAGAAAGGGAATGGGATGTACAGATCAAGTCTTTTCCATGCGCATGATCGCGGAGAAGTTTCTGGCCAAAAACCAAAAGGATTTTTGTGCGTTCATGGACTTGGAAAAGGCCTATGACAGAGTGGATAGGGATTTGCTATGGCAAACACTGAACTCATTTGGGTTGAGCGCTGGCTTGATACAGGCATTGGAGTCTCTTTATAGGGACTCTAGTGCTTGTGTTAGGATCAACGGGGTCTACTCGGACTGGTTTGACATCCATAAAGGTGTCAGACAGGGCTGTGTAGCTTCCCCGTGGCTGTTCAACCTATTTATGGACAGTTGTTTGCAAAATTTGAAAGTTGAAGAATGCGGATTAAGAATGGGTGAGTTAACCGTCAAATGCCTTTTTTACGCCGATGATCAAGTTATTCTTGCGTCGTCGGCGGCCGAGTTGCAAATGATGGTTACATTAATGAACGGATCATTGAAAGAAAGGGGTATGAAAGTGAACGCAAGTAAGACGAAGGTTATGGTTTTTGAAAGAGAAGAAAGTAAAACGATTTGTGAAATAAGAATAGAAGGGGGAGTTGATCGAGCAAGTAGATGAGTTTGTATATTTGGGCTGCGTATTTAGCAGGGATGGGAGATATGATAAGGATATAGAACGACGAGTGAATGCGGGAAATAGAGTAAATTGGGCCCTACACTCTATTGTGAAGACTGAAGAGTCAAAATGTGTCGAAAAATGCACGTATGGCAATTCACAATGCTGTGTTTGGTCCCTACTTTAACGTACGGTAGTGAAAGTTGTGTGTGGCAGAAGAAGCACGAGAGAGAATAAACGCAGTAGAAATGCGGTCGTTAAGGAGTATGTTAGGGCTGAATCTGAATGACAGGGTAAGAAATTGTATAATAAGAGAAGAGTGTGGTTTGCAAGATGATGTTGTGACCAGGATTAAGAAAGGAATGCTTCGGTGGTTTGGTCATGTGGAAAGAATGAATGAGGAAAGAGTGACAAAGAAAATTTATGGTGCAGAAGTGAATGGCAGAGTCGGAAAGGGACGTCCTAGGCGAAAATTTATCGACCAAATTGGCGATTTATTGAAAACGGGCCAAATTAGGAGTACCCTTAACCGACAAATATGTATGCGTAGGTGTATGGATGTGAAGGAGGCAAGAGAGGTGTGTCAGGATCGTGCCAAATGGAAGTCTGTAGTCTCTGCCTACCCCTCTGGGTGACAGGCGTGAGTGTTTATGTTATGTAATAATATTATTAAATAAGTTTATCTTGTTTTATGTAGGATGGACATTTAAAACAGGCACGCGAATATCTACCTAACATAAAATGCGGTGTCAAAATATTTCAAGTTTCTTTTTAGCATTGTTGCCGTGTCCACCATTCAGTCACGTTTTTTGTTATATAGAGGTATTTTATGTTTTGTATTTTTTTATGACCGTGGATGCTAAGCCAGAGAGCATTAATTTCGTAACGTCTCGCGCATAATATATTTTTAAAATGATGACAGTTTTGTCCATTTACTTTTTATAGATGACAGGGCAAACGAGGCTGAGGCTGACCTGATGGTGAGTGTCGACCGCCACACACGAGGGCAATAACAGGTGCGTCGTGGGCCTTTTAGTAAGAAGTAAGTACGATTCTTGAAGGTCCCTAAGCCATATCGGTCCGGAAAAATCACCAATGGTAAATGATTTCACAAAGAAGTCGTGCGAGAAAGCAAACTTTTAGTAAATCGTATAGTGGTGGACCACCTAAGGTTTTCAATTCAGATGGAGTATCGTGAGTTTCGTCGCGATATGCGTTGACGGAATTTGGAGGCTGCAATTAATCTAAACCATTACTTACTTATTTCATTGATATGATAAATACGTGTATGGATGTTTAATATATATTAAAGTATTATTTCTTTGTAGAAAGTTGAGCCTATTTTAATCGAAAATTGCAAATCTTAAAGTTTATCTGATAGACCATAGGCACAGATGCTATTATCTGTGTCGTTTCTGCAAAACTTTTATTGACTTTGATTAGTTAATCCAAAACAGGATAAAACTTACTTTATGGAGCGTGTTTAGGATAATTTTCCTTTAAAGCGCACGTAGCACGTACCTTTTAAGCGTGTGTATAACGTACGTGTAAACAACTTATTAAATTTCATAACAGTAATCCTACTAATAACACCCTCGTAGTATTACTTGATCACGGAATCCCTTTTAAATTAGATTATAAAATGAACAATCAGACTGACTTTATCACGAGAAGGTTTGATTATTCAGAATGATATATTCTTTAAAACGACTTTTAGTAATTCATTTGACAACAGCTATTCGAGCTCGATAACGTCATAATTTTGTTTTTATAGTTTTTTTTTTTCAAAATTGAATATTTCACGAACAAATTAACCGATTTTGATGTGATTTTTGAGTTTTTTGAGTTTAACAAAAACAGTTATTACAAAAATGTATTTGACGAAAAATTTTCAAGTTATTTTGAAAAAACACTTTCGAAATTTCTTCCAACAAAGATATATTCCGAGCGGTTCAACCGATTTTGATGCGGTTCACGGCAATTGACGATGTTTTTTGAGAAGAGGAGCTGATTAGATTATAGACATGGTCAAAACAAGGGTATCGAAGTAATTCCAAGAAAACTACTTTTTGAAAAATTAAAAAATAATCGATTTTTGAGGTTTTCTTAAAATTAATCGTGACGATTCGTTCTAAATTCACAGAAAATGTAAGTTCAGCAAGGCTCACACATACAGACATACGGAAATCATCGCAAGAATAACTAGAATAGTTTCCTAAGACGTCGAAACGTCGAAATCTGTAGAGAACTCAATTTTTAAAAACCGTCGTGAAAACGATAACTTCCTCATTTTTTTAAATCATTGATTTTCATGGTAGTAAATTAAAAATCATGAAAATCATTTCAGCCAGTTAGAATAGTTCAGCGACAAACACAAGTACAGAACAGTTAAGTATATAAATATTTTAATTCCATGATTTGCCTTTTTCGCCACGCTTGGCGATACCGTCTACAGTCTGTGTATTTACTTCTAGTGTAAACGAGGTGATTATACCAGCCGTCGGAAGACAAGTTCTATTACGGACTTCCCATGGTCGCTCTTTACTACTTTCATGGGACGAAATGGTGAGATGGATTTCTCATTCCGTTTTATTTCACATTTTAATCTTTATTATATGTATATAAAATTATTTTGTCCGTGTGTATTAACTGAAGTCCTCCTAAACAACTGTAGCGATTATGATGAAATTTTGTGTATGTGATTAAGTTGATTCGAGATTGATTTAGATTCACAATTGGTTCTGGTAGATGACGCTGTTTTCGAGATCTAGAAATCACCCATGCGAAGCCAGGGCGGATTACTAGTGTATAGTATATATAAAAATTAATTATGTTTGTTTGTCCCGTATGTATGACTATACCATTCATCTAATTACAACGAAACTTTGGTGAATTATGTGTACGCGCCTGAGAAGCTTACTGAATAAAAAAACTGAATATTTGTTGCTTTTTTATTTTCTATGCGTACCTATACCGGTAATCCCATTTCTATGAAACTTTTGTGAGTTACTGTTAGGCGAATTATGTAATAACTTGCAGCAGTTAGAATATCATTACAAAGTTTATCCTACTTCCAAGTTTCCCAGATCAAAATGCAGACAAAACCGTCGTAATACAAACACCAGACACTGTCCGACCTCAAACCGCCCACTTCCGGCGATCTATTTAGATTCCATTCAATCTAGTTTAGTCAAGTATCGGGTACTCTTGTTACAGATTGTTAGAGATAGAACTAATTTGGCTTAATTTGACACCATTGTTTGAGAATTGACGTGCAAATTCAGCTTATTCACATGTAATATGATTTTTGTTGAACAGACATGGATCGAACTGTTCTTAGCGTTCTCGTATAAAATATCATTTCCTTCTTTGCTTATCAGCCCTTTATTAAACCAATACTACATAAAGGATTTTTCAAATAACATAGAATAAAAAGGGTTGACAAATAGAACCCCTACCAAAGTACCGCTGATCTAATCTGTGCGAGTTGTGCTAAATAGTAAATACATCGCCATTTGGTTACAACAGACTCATTTTTAATAAAAGAATGAACAGCATACAAGAAATGTACCATTGCTGAACATGAGCTCACCAAGAAATGGGTCCAAAACACGATCTTGAGTACCTGCATCCATACTTTTTAGTACAAGAAGAGAGGCTTTAGATAACAAGGATGAAAATCGAGCACACAGTCCACCAGATGGTAAGTAGATGCGGTGGCCTATAAACATCTACATCTTCATTTTTATGATTAAGAAACACACGTGTGTTTTCGCCCCTGAGGACTAGGATGGAAAGCCTTGTTTTCATTAAAAAAGAGTCTCTGGTTCCCTAAACTGGCAATACGAAGCACTATAGCATGTGAGAGTTCGGTCCTTACTTGGTCGATCCGACCCATTCGTGCTAAAACCATAACATAGTAGCAGCGTCGTTCCACATATTTACTTTTTGTATGGGGTTATATTTCTCGTTTACATTTTATTGGGTTAAGAAAACAATCCTTATTACCCTTCATGATTATGAGT